ATCAGCACACGTAATCTGTGAAAACATCCGATATTCAAGTTAAATGGCGTTTGAATTATTCTCATTTTGTTCATATAGGCATATACTACCAAACCCAAGTCCAAAAAAATCAAAGAGTTATCGTTTGTTTGTGTAAAACTCGAGACGCTTGTCATGTGTTGTAGGTAGATGTCCTATCTTTGGCTTCAGTTTCAGTTTAGCTGGCAGGGACAGTCTATATTGGAGGTAATATAAAATAAATAAATAAATAAATAAACATGGATTGAATATAAAAATAAATAAGGATTATAATATGGAGGTTAAGCATAAACATGAATGGATATGAACAGAATTACAGGCGAGGCATAACTTTGTATGGTATTGGAAGACTTCTGGTTTCCTTTTGTACCACTGATGTTTAACAGAAAGGTTTATTCTTAGCCAACTGAAATTTACCTCCAAGGTTTAAGCTGATTTTGGCTTTGTGCGATATGTGGACAAGTTTTTGCTTGCTTTCATGTCACTTTTCATATGTAGTTCAGGACATTTGCACACCTATTGAATACCTACCTTCCCTGCATGTTGTGGGCAGGCGTTTTTGCCAGGTGGAGCCTCCAGGACGGTGCACTCCTCACTGCTGCTATCTGGGGAGTGTTGGTGGGCCTCCATCTGCAAGTGGCAGCCTGGTGAGGGTAAACCTCCAAACACACCCCTTTTTCCACTCTGCAGCCAGGGGAAGGGGCTTTATGTTTGAATACAAGGTTCCAGATGTATTTTTGTACTGTTTGTTTTTGTAAGCTCCTTGTCTCACCCTTTTATTCCATTGTGCATTCAACATAAAAAGGATCAAATGTTCATATGAACTCCTTGTGATAACTCTTGGCGGATGCTAGATCTCTGGAAAAGCACATCAACATTTCACACACAAAGAAGAATGCCAGAAATCCAGATGCAGGTTTGGTTTTTCTGTAATTTCAGGGCACAGTAATCCAGGCTTGTGAGCTTGTAGTCAATGAAACTTGGCATAGATTATTCCACTATGGGGGGAAAGAGTGTCCAGGTGTCCACATTTAGGTACATATCCCATTTAAAACATCTTTCTGCTTCCATGTGTTGTTTCTTCAAGCACATAAACCGAGTGAATGAAAGTAGTCAATCCTCTTTAGGTCTTATTGGGTGAAAAGCAATGAACTATGGTGTTAATTTGATTCACATAGGGTTCAAGCTGTGGGCAGATCACACTGTGTCCTACAGAAACGAGACAGAGAGAGGGATGAGGATTAGTTGGAAAAGCAGATAAACACAGAGAGACAAGAGAGATTATTTACTTAAGCTTCGAACTCTTGACTGTTTTCCTTTATACTTTTTCATTTTGCTTTTGTCTCAGTCTTAAGATTGAATCAGGTAGATTAAATTTGATTAATAAATGTGGGTTATAATGGCAGCACGGTGGCACAGCGGTTAGCACTGTTGCCTCACAGCAAGAAGGTCCTGAGTTCAATGAGTTCTGTGTGGAGTTTGCATGTTCTCCCCGTGCTTGCGTGGGTTCTCCCTGGGTACTCCGACGCGCTCCCACAGTCCAAAGATATGCAGTTAATGTGGATAGGTTAATTGATCGATCTAAATTGCCCATAAGTGTGAATGTGAGTGCGAATGGTTGTCTGTCTCTGTGTGTTAGCCCTGCGACAAACTGGCGACCTGTCCAAGGTGTACCCTGCCTCTCGCCCTATGACTGCTGGGATAGGCTCCAGTGTCACCCTGAAAAGGATAAATGGAAGCGAATGGATGGATGAGTTAAAGTACCTCAAACTGTTGTTCTTCTCGCTGCCACTAAATGAAAAACCTTTATGGCATTGGGAAAACTGTATTTCCATGGGTAATGAGTGTGCAATGCCTTTTATCTTTTCAGGCATTCACGGAATCACAAAATCCTGCAGTTACTTGACCAAGTGTCATGTATGAGTTTCCCTCTGAATGAACCAGCCAGTGATCTGCTTTTACTGGCCATAAAGTGGAGCTGAGTTGTCTTGGTTACAGTCTGCAAACACGCTATAGGACAAAGCAAATTCGGTCAGAATGAAAGTAATTTTAAAAAAAAAATGTTATTTCTCATGCTCCCAAAGTTTCTTTTCTATATTTTCATTTCAGATATTTTATCTAATCACAAGCAATAGTATAGAGTGCTTTTCTTTTAAAGAGCACCAAGCAGCAATGTCACCAGTTAAAAAATTAAACTTAAGTTCCAAAAACTGCAGTTCCTCCAGTGGCCACTGGAGCCTGTCTCCATATGTGAGCTAAATTACCATTTTATTCCATTAAAACGTCTGGTAGAAATACATCATTGGTCTCTGTAGCTAATTCCCTCTTTATGACAACTAAAAGATAAAATTTATATGTAACTCAGCAGTTTAGCCTGTTGATGGTATAAAGTAAGGGCCAACTTACTTATAAAGTAAGTATCGGCCAGAGCAGATAGTTCTCTGCTCAGTTTCACCTGCTCTGAGCTGAGTCACTGAATTTGATTTCTCAACCATGTTTGAGCCATTGGTCCCTTTCAGAGCATTTTTAATGCTATTATCTGACAAATAATACTTGCTGTGAGGAACCACGTTTCCAATCAGTTTTGGCTAGCTGACTGACAATTATCCAGGCTAGTGAGTTTGTAGTCAATGAAACTTGGCATATGTTATTCCATTATATTCACTGAACTAGACTTCGTAACTGTGTTTGTAACTTATAAAATTCATTATTCGTTGGATCTGATAACATTTCTTTTTTCTTTGTTTTACTTAATTTCTTAGATTTGTGTTACAGATAGATTGTATAATGTTTTTTAGGAAAAACAAATATTGGCAAACTGTAAAATTATTTCTACATGTAAATCAAATTTGACATATTTGATTTACATGTAGATAAAAGTGGTTTAAATTGTCTTGTCTAGCCAGCCTGGTCCTCTTTCTGGCCTTTCTTAATGTTAGCTAATGAATCAAGCTTTAGTACTGTCGGCTTTGTTTGGCATAGTCTCACTTTAATATTTTGATATGACGCTGTTTGATTTATGTTAATATTTCCTGGCTTTAAGTTGCTCTTAAATTGGATTGGATTCCATAGTTCAAATGCATTTAATTAATGCTGCGTTTGAGAGGTTTTACGAGAGGTAACATACATGTCCACTGGTTTATTGTTAAAATGCGACTATTTGCCTCTAAAAACTCTTCCAACTTTCCCGGGAACTGCTAATTAATATCGACAAAGTTTTTCCAGTTGCCAATATAAACGTGTGTTTATAGTACTATGTGTACTAGCTGGAAAAAAAACACACAAATGCTGATATATTCACATGAAAAAGAGAGGGTTTTTCACAAGACTCTATGTTGTCTGGTGAAAAACTCTTTTAAAACGACACTGCATGATTCAGCACATTAAAGAACCATGACTTTATCAGTCTCTCACATTGTTGTGGAGGGATTATGGCCACTCTTCTTTACACGTTTTATGTCTTTACAACATTGCCTCAGCTGTTTGAGGTTTGCTAGAGTTCATCTATGCACAGCTCCCTTAATGTCCCACCACTGCATTTCAGTCAGGGTGACATCTGGACGTGAGTGGGCCGTTGCAGCATCTTGGTTCTTTTCTTTTTCAGCCATTCTGTTAAACATTCACTTGTGTGCTTGGGATAATTTTCCTTTTGCATGATCCAATTTGGACCAAGTTTATGCTGTTGCACAGATGGCTTCACATTTGACGACTATCAAAATTTCAGTTTTATAGAGGTGTTGATAAGCAGTTAACCACATGCATTTAATTGGCTGCACCTGGTTGCTACTCACCCTCTATCATGTAAACATAATGCATTAAAGGTGGGTTTAATATTTCACCTGACTGGATAGCCTCCCAAATGGTACGATACATCAACCTTAACCTGTATAGGAAGCCCATGGACAGATGCCACAAACAGGGGGATGACTGCATGCTGTTGCTTGTTGGACCACCAGGAACAGCAAATGTGGAGTAAAATACTATGAAGAGCTTCTGGAAGCAGTAATGTAGGTCAACAAAATGTCTTCAAAGTGATGGAGAACAGAGAGGGAGCCGGGTGGGGAGGGAGGTTCTGGTTTCCATAGTAACAGACTGCATAGGACTGGGGTGAGGGGGTTCACCAGTTAGAAGGAAATACACCAAAAAGTGAAGCAATCATGTCCTCTATAATCCCAGAAATTTAGTCTAAATTTAGCTGGAAGTGTGCTGAGAGCTGCAATGATTATGGCTCGCTTCACAAAGTGTTCCAGGTCTGTTTTTTTGGTAAATTTTTTTTTTTGCTTTTTCTTTTTACTATCATGTTAAAGTCACAGAGATGGTGGTAATAATGCTGAATCAGTGTGAACGCCTAAACTAAAAATAGACTTTTAGCTATGGTCCCACAGCACATGATAGAAAAAAGCTCAATTTGTTCCACTGAAAATGGAGAAAAAAAACATTAATCTGTCAGTTCTTTAAA